GTGATCACAATCAAGCAAATCATACACAGGGAGGAGGCACTGGAGAAAGGGCTCCAGCGCGCGCTGTGGGTCTTGAGTCACCCTCTCTCTACTTGATCCTCAGTCGCCGAGATTTGGAAGCTAGGTGCCTTGGAGGCCAATATGGGGTGATGTTGGATGCTGAGGCTGTGCAAAGTCTGGCGTCATTAACCAGCCCAGACCTGGTGTAGATGCTCCTATCAGGAAGGCTGCGTGTCCCCCGCATGGAGAGTGCTAGAGGTCTTGACTCTATTTGCTACTACAATATTGGTGAAGCCACAAAATAAGAAGGCTGGTACTAAAGGAGTTGTTGCTGTGTCATTACCGAATGCCCCTCCTCTTCTACATAGCTTTCAGTCCTCAGCCGAGCTCAGCAGTGACTCAGGAAATCTATCATCCGACTGTCTGTCATCCAAGAATTAGGCGGTTACCCCAGCAATGGGTAGATCTGTATTCCAGGGCCTTGAGCACAGTAGGTATCTGGCTCATGGCTTCCGGTGTTGGATGTGGGAGTTGGAGGTGAGGGTGAAGGTGATGATGGCAGCAGAGCACAGAGGTGGTGAGACCCACCCTGCTTGGCCCGAGGGCTGCACGATCCCCTCCAGTGTGAGGTCCAGTGCGGGAGAGGGTAGGAAACTTTGTTTTTCCCTGCCTCTCCTCCTTTGCTCAGTCGTGCATCCCCTGTAGAACAGAGCACCAGCCTTGACCTCTATTTCCAGGTGATAAAAGTAAGGTTCTTAAGGGCCCCCTGATCTGCTGTAGCTCACAGAATGAGTGAGTGACCGACACGGTCTGGGGCTATCCCTTTGTCGTTTGTTGGTGATTGGCTTTCCTGCTGTCTCCCGTCTCTGTGGCAGAATAAAGGACAGCCTTCCACTGGGATCTCCCAAAGATTCCTTTCATGGAGCCATTCCCTTATCTTGAAAAAAATTAACTACATGAAGGCACAGAAGATTTTGGTGCCCCATCAGTGATTCAGGCCCACGTGAGGACTAAGAGGCCATGATTACAGACTCTCAGGGGAGCACGAGCACAGTTTAAAAAGGGGACAGAATGAAAGAGAGAAAGATGAAGGACATGGGTCAGGTACTCGGTCAGGTTCTGTGCAATGCATTTAGTGCAGATGGCGGCTCTTCCCTTGGAGCGGACACCTGGACATGTGTGAGATGTGGCTTGCCTTATAGTGGTGGGGTGGGGTGGCAGCAAACCTAAACAGAGGGTCCTGGTGTTCGTGGAACTGGCAAACACATGGGTGCTGAGAACGAAGGAAGAGCAGCACTGTCAGCATGTGGGGAGAAATGGGACTCTGAGTTCTGGCATCCAGGAGCTGTAAGTGCAAGGCATGCAGAGAGAATACAGAGGCAAGGAGAAGGCGGAGCGAGACCCAGAGACCACAAGCCACCCAAGAGCCAGGCTTCACACTCACCTGGGGGTCTTAGAGCTGAAGGCCCTCATGGCCAGCCCTCTCCAGTCCCAGACCTGGGGTCCCCAGATTGAACAGGAAGTCATGGGCTCTGCCATCTTCGTGACACGCTGGATATAGGAACTAGTCTCGCTGAGAACCAGTCAGACCCACACCAAGTCACCACTCCTTGCTCCCCCGTGCTTTTGTTTTCCCAATCCAGAAAGTCTACAGAAACTCTTGGGATCAGACCCGGGCTGGTGGCTATGACTTCAGGCTGGATGCCATCCCCTTCCAGACGGCCCGCGCCTCCAGGGAGATTGCCAGTGACGTAAGTCCCCATGCTCTCTCTGCTGCTGACTTGTTTCGTGCTATTCTTCCCAGCTCCATTGGCAGGGAGAAGGCAGACACCAAGATGTCAAGTGTGTGGCTTCCGCACGGAAATGTAACATGTCCTTCATAGGAAAGAAAAGGCAGGGCAGTTTTCTAGGATCTTAGTTGGAAATTTAGGATTAGAGGTTTGCATTCCTACTCTTTCTCTTTTAGGAGAGGTGCTCTTAAGTGTTAGTGGGTGAGTATTTAGAAATCAGGGAATGTGTAATGGTTGAGTGATTTTCAGTAAAGGGCCTTCTTCAAGCAGAAACACAAGCATGGAGTCGAAAGCAATTGGGACCTTCCCCTACACTGACTTGAGTTTGATTCATGGCACAGTTGCTTAGGAATTGGGTATTTGATTTGGGCAAGTTGCTTGAATTCTCTGAACTCAAATTTCTATATCTATGGAAGAGTGACCTAGTACCTATCTTCTAGGACTAGTGTAGGGATGAAAACAAAATGGTCTGCAGTGCCTGGCACACAGCAGGTATTCAAAACAGGGCATCTAGTGTTAGTGAAGAGGAGAGCATTGCTGATTGGACATTAGACACCTGTTCACCCATGAATGGCTGTTTGCTAGTCCACCTTGAGATAAGGACAGACATCAGGGGCAGGCATTCAAAAATTTCCTTATTAATTAGATACAGAAACATCTAAGCATGTGATGGCGGGATCAGCTCATTGAACAGGGTAAAGGACCAACTGAGGGTTATCAGTTGCTGAGGGTAGGTTTTTGATAGATTAGAAATTTAGCAATACTAAATGAAACAGGTCCTTCACAAATGATTTGAGAAGCACCAGACTAGGTTCCTGAAAGTTGGAAAGGATTAAAAAACTGCACATATTCCCCTTCCTGCTGGAGTACTGATTACAGCAATAATAACAGAGTCACCACCAGTGGGCGTAGACTGGTGCCAGTCTTGAAGCTCAACACTCTGCTTATTGAATTTTCTCGATATCTCGTGGAGATGGAGATTCATTCTCCCGTTTTATCAGATGGGGAAATTGAGACTCAATAACTAGCCAAGACAGTACACCTAGGCCTATGGAATCCAAAGCCTGTATTTGTGCTGAGCAGCCAGTTGAGAATCCTGTGGGCTGCCACGTCAGGGAGGGTAGGCCTGGAGGGGATGTGGCTCCCTGTGATCCGTCTCTGCTCCTCTGATTTTTAGTTCCGGTACAAAGAGGCCTTCCTGCGGGACCGGGGCCTGCAGATTGGGTACCGCAGCATCAGTGACGACCCAAGGATGAAGCATTTCCTCAATGCTAGCAGGCTCCAGAGTGACAATGAGTACAAGAAGGACTTTGCCAAGGGTCGGTCCCAGTTCCACAGCCGCACAGATCAGCCTGGCTTCCTCCAGGCCAAGAGGAGCCAGAACCTGGCCAGTCATGTGCATTACAGGCAGCCCCTGCCCCAGCCCACCTGCGACCCGGAGCAGCTGAGCTTGAAGCATGCGAGGAAGGCCCACCAGCTGCAGAGTGATGTGAGCCACCTTTGCACATCTCATATTCCTTCCAGGGGAGCTGGGATGAGACAGCACCCCAGACGCTGGGCATTTTGGAAGCAGAAGGAATAGCGGCAGTAGTTACTGTATCATTTCTGTGCTCTGAGCCGTGCTCTGTGCTAAATGCTTTCTGAGCATCCGTCTCTACAGTCCCCGTGATCCCACCACTGCCTCATTTTGCAGATGAGGAACCCGGGGGCCAGGGACGTTAAGCAGATTTGGCATACGGACCCCATTAAGTTTGATATGAGAGCCCAGACCCTTGATCACTATGCTGTACTGTCTTTGAGGGGTCTCAGTAAGTTACCTAACCCAGCTGCTGCACTTTTCCCTGGGAAGAAAATGAAGCCCAGAGAAGGAGAGTGACTTCTCTGAGACCGCAGAGAACCAGGCATTCCCCCAACCCCCGCTTACCCCACTGCAGCTCCCATCACTCAAATAGATGTGAGTGACAGTTGCGTGCTGGCCAGGCTCACAGCAGGTACCTCGGGTCCTCCACGTCAGAGAGCTCCGGTTTAAGATGAATGTACTCTCCTTGTCCTGCTTTACTGACAACAACATATTCCTAGCTACCCTGTGGACAAAGCACCTCAAGCCCTGCTGACATGTTCCTCTCGTTTCCTCCTTCCTCCAAGGTCAAGTACAAATCAGACTTGAATTTGACCAGAGGTGTTGGCTGGACCCCCCCTGGCTCCTACAAAGTGGAGATGGCTCGGCGGGCTGCAGAACTGGCCAACGCGAGGGCCCTGGGGCTCCGGGGAGCTTATGTGAGTAGCGAGCTACAAACTCACCCTGCCTGGCAAGACCACAGGAAAAACAAAGTCATTGTTTCTTTTCAAAGTTTATTTTTGGCCAAAGGTCAGCTGGCTCTAAAGAAGTGTGAAATGCAGCTGAGCAAGGCACCTAATTTCATGGGTCTGGGATGACCGGGTGGATGACACACAGGTTAAACTTCCTGCAGGGTTTTCTCTGAAGTCACAGCCATTAGTTCTGCAGAGGCAAACCTACTGGGGAGACATCAATCCCGGGCCAGGGCACCCAGGCTGTGCTCACTGCTTGCTTGTTACATGTGCAGAAAGGGTCAGGGACTCGCCAACTATAACAGCCTGCATTTTGAACCCTACTTTGTTCAGAAGAAAGACACAATGACTAAATGAGAGATTGGCTTTGCTTCTTTCTCGTTCTTGCCTTGAGGATGCTTTCTCTTGGGCAGGGTGGAGGAGGAGACCAGAAAGGGAGGATGGATATGTTAAAGGCTCCGAGAGCATCTTAGCATGTCGTGTGGGAAGGGGGTGGGGGTGGGGGCTTCATTTTAACTGGGGGATACGTTTGGTTTCTGCAGGGAGCACCAGAAGCGGTGGAGGCTGGGGATCATCTGAGGGGGGAGGTGAACCCAGATGCCACTGAGATCCTGCACTGCAGAAGGAAGAGGCTCTGCTGATGTGAGTGAACAGGCCCAGCCCCTGGTTCCTGAGAAGCCACAGCGGAAGTCTGCTCTTCCAAACTACACTTCAGATGGCTTCCGTTTGAGCATCTTTAAAAAATGGCATCTCTACATCTATCTATATTAAAACAACAACTCTGAAAGCAAATAGAAGATGTACTTTTGCCCTTTTCTCTAATGTCTGGATGAGAATGGTGGGCGCTGTTGAGTATTTTAGGTGCTTGGGATGAGAAGCAAAGAGTCAAGGTGACTGTCGCGGGAGTGGGGCGTTCCGGGGTCTCACGTCTGTGGGCGTCCCTGGTGGAGGCAGTCTCTGTGAACACTGATTTTCTAGAAGGTACAGTTGGCAGAAGGGAGGCAAACACCATACATTTAGCTGCGTCCATCGTTCCTGGGATCCCCAGGGAGGCAGGGGAGCCTGGCAAGTGGTGTGGACGCTGGCCAGCGAGGCCCAGGGTGGGCAGCATCATCTCTGCCCAGAGCAGGGTACTCTGCTGTGTGGCCTCCTGGGTACTCCAGCGCGTATTCCTCGCTGTCCGTGAGGTCTGCTTAGTCTGGTGTAGAGGAGGATGGGCTCTGAGTTCCAGGACTGCACCTTAGAAGACAGCCTCCTTTTGCATTGTGGTTTTGATCCAGCTCAGGAACTTGGTAACTTGGGTGTAGACCCCTGGCTTTTCCCCACATTCCTGGCCCCAGCTCACGATCCCATAGACGTAGTAGATGCCGTCTTTCTCACAGGTCAGAGGACCTCCAGAGTCACCCTGAAGGAAAAAGCAGCAGAAGGTCAGCCTTGTGGACCTGAATGCCTTCAGATGTCTCCCTCATCTCTCAAGGGTGCCAGAGATGATGGGGTGGCATTGCCTGCTAGCTGTGTGGCTTCTCTGGGAAGTGGTGACATCACTGTTCTCAGGCCTCCCATGATGCCACGCTCTGAACAGAGAAAAGCTACACTGTTAGCTCAGGATCCCACGAGGTCTCAGCAGAGAAACCCAGGGCCACTGTCACAGTGTTTAGCAGATCCTACATTCTGATCCTTAGTCCTACAGTGTCCTCACCGCTAGTTCACCTAGTAGCTGACCCAGGGGATGGTGCCCTGTTGAACAGAGCCACACACAGGACAGGAACACAGGGACTCAGTGGCGGTGTGGCCTGGGCATTCAACCTGGGCTGCGGGGTTTGATCTTCTGGATTCCAATCCTGGCTCTACCTGCTTCTAGCCATGTGGCTTGGAGGCCTCAGTTTCTCAGCTATAAACTGTGCATAGCAACTGACAGCCTTCCCCAGGGTTCGAGGGTACTTTGGTTGTAAAGTACGGAGAACAGGGTCTGGTTCGTGTTAAGCCCTAGTTGCAGTGATGAAGATAAGGATGGAGGAAAGGCAGTGAGGAGGAGACTCACGAACAATGCTGCTACAACTAACAAATCTTTACAAATGGACTCTCTGTCTTAATCATAGCTACCACCGGATGATCTTATGGACATGTTAGTCCCATTAGGCACCAGAAACTGGAGAATTACTTGGGTGGTTGATCAAGATCATATAATAACCAACAGGAACAGGTTTCAAGCTCAAGGCTATCTGCTTCCAAAGCCTGCAAGTGAAGCCCCTGAATTATCTAGAGAGTTGAGCGATCTTTTTCTCTTACTCATTTTCTAGGGGCTTAGGACAAATCACCTCCAGCTGCCCTTGCCATTCCCTGAGTACATGGGCATCTGTGGCCCCTTGGGAAAGGACTCGGGTCACAGCATAGCTACAAACCCTAGAGAAAGAAACTTCACTTTCTCTTCCCAGAGTGGACTAAAAGGCTGGCAAGCCTGTTGGGTCCCTTTGCAGGGAGGCTCCGTCAAGGGGCCAGGATTTGAGTATGATCATGCTGGCGTTTCCAGGAAAGTTGAGCAGTTTATGAGGACATTAGGCAGAAAGTCCTAAAATGAGATGTTCCTAGGAGTCTGGAAAAGATGTATTTTGTGTGATGTGAGCCCTACAGAGGAGCCATGGGGAACAGGCTTTGATAGGGAGCAGGGTCTGAGGTCCCTTGAGCGGCGGTTGATAGCACCAGCATCTCTTCCCTCCCACAGCATCTCTGAGTCACCGCCCGAAGTCTGAACTAGGTGGGATGTGAGGCAGGTTCTAGGTTTGGCTGTGGTCACAGAGTCATGTAGATTGCTAGAACTAAATCAATCTTCTTATCTCTGCCTCTGTCTTTCTATTTCTGTCCATCTGCCACACGCACATTTAAACCCCAGTGACTAATAATATCATTGCAATATCTCTAGGCCTTACATCACTTTTGTTTTAGTCGTTGGTCTTGTGGATAGTTCCTTGTTTAGTGGGATTTTCAGACACACTGCCCAGCACTGAGGCCAGAAGGGCCACCTCCACATGTAAACATAGTGGAGCAAAGTAGCAGAAGCTCTGGTGTCCTGCAGACCCAGGGTTTTCAAATTCAAGGGCTATTCCTTACTACCCCACTGCTATAGGTAAGCATGACTTCTCTAAGCATCTATACGATGGTGACAATGACATCCCCTTCACCGGAGAGTTGTGAGAGTTTGATGAGTTAAATTACAATGCAGCCAATATGACCACTATGGTTATTATGCAGAGCCATCCTGGCTTGACGTGGATTCAGCTGTGCTGGGGTCAGATGTCCCCTACCTGTGCCTTAGCTCTCATTCCAGGACTCTACGGGACCTCTGTGCCTGTGTAAAATTTTGCTAACCTCTCCTTCACCAAGTGCATTTGGAGTCTGACCTGGCAGGTGTCTGGCCCAGGTTTCTGAAGGTTTCCTGCACAAATCATACTGTCATCGATCATTTGGTTATAGAGTCTTCGGGAGTTGCATAACGTGTTAGCAATCAGCTTGACTTTTGCATCCAGAAGCTGGCGGGACCCTTCCCCTGTGGACAGAAAAAAGAGTCACTACTGTGGAGACCAGGACAGCACCCACCCAACCAGAAGCTAGTGGTGTAGGGAGAAGGCCACCAGCCCTCAGCTTGGGAAGGAAGGAATTTCCTGGAAGAACCCTGCCTTCCAACACTGGGGTAGTTTCCCCTTTCCTTCAGTCTTCGCCAGGCCTGTGCAGCCCTGCAAAGCTGCACTGATCACAGTGGAACAGCATCATGTATCCCCTCCTCTGACTTCTAACTAGACCACAAGGTCCAAAAGGGCATGGGCGACATCTTAGCCATCTTTAAAATTTTCTAATGTCCGCAGAATGGCTTGCATAAGTAAATTCTGAATGAATGATTGAAGATTCCTAGTGCATTAAATTATCTGCATCTAAGAGAAGACATTCCCCCCTTAAAGATAATGAAATCAATCAAAATATGTCATTGACTTGGAACATACTGTTTTAGAGGACCATTTGTGAAAAACAAAATTGTTTTAACCTGAGGCCCTGTAAGATTCTCAACTAAGACATCACCATGTTGCCTAAACCATACTGAGCAGAATAGAGGTCAAAAGGGCTGGGATGGGGGTTGCTGCAAAAGGAGTTTTCTGATTGGCCTTAATTCCAATTAGCCCAAAATCTCTTCCCAAAAGCTTCTGACAATTCTGTATATTACATTTCGCTTTCTTTAAGAATAGAGACTAAAATGGCTCTTGCTTCCCATTACTAAGGGCAAGATTGGGAGACAACAGACACATTTGAGTTTTAGGGAAAGACTTGAAATGCCCTTCTGCATGTCTTTGGATTTGAATGTAAGATTTACCTAGAGAATGTATTGAATGTAAGATTTACCTAGAGCTGGAATGATGAAGCAGGTGCTTTCTTTTGATAATGTATTTTAAACTTATTTCAGGTTAGAAGGGCAGTTGGGATTTGCCCTTTTTCCTCTGGTTGATGTAGCTCCCTGGAATTGGGAGAGAAGGCGTGGATGGACTCACCTGTTTCTGTCACACCCCAGCCAGAGATGTGGCACTCAGTCCCCGAGGGAAAGGAATCATCAGGCAAACAAACAGTCTTCACATATTTGGACTCCAGAGCACAGTGCCCATCCACTGGCTTTAACTTGAGCAAAGCTAGGTAGAGACAGGGGAGGAAATGGATGTGATCTCATCTTCTTGGCAGAGAAGCATCAGCTTTCAGCTTTCTTTGGAAGGAGCTAGTAGTGAAAATCCACCCTCCATGCCTCAAAAACTTCTTCCTTCGTTATTTTATTTCCTTAAACTTTCACTTGAGAAGAGTAACACAGGTTGAGAGTATACCAGGAATAAGAAAAGAGTTTGAAATAATTTCTTGTCCATTTTAAAAAGCAGGTTGTAAGAGCAATAAAAGCTATTGAGAGAGAAAGAGAAAGAGAGAGACAGAGAGAGACAGAGAGAGACAGAGACAAACAGAGACAGAGACACAGGGAGACAGAGACACAGGGAGACAGAGACAGAGAGAGACAGAGACAAAAAGATCAATCTTGTGAAGCCAGTAGCTTAAGAATGTTATTGCCTCTGCACCAGAGCACCCCAGGTGCCAGTGCCAGGTGTGTCCATGTTAATATGCAGGAAGCTTAGAGTTGTGCGACAGTGTTCCCGCTTTCCCTAGGAGAAGCTCAGGGAGGTAACCCCACTCGCAGGTAAAAAGCAAGGGAGCTGGGATTCTCAGCACAATGTTCCTAGCATCCTGGCATCCCTTCCCTTCAGTTTAAGGATCTGTGCTCATTTTTCCACAACACGAACACATATTCTTAAGAAGTTCTGGAATAAATTCCCTACCTTCCAGGGTCAAACAAGGGACCAAAATGACCATGACAACCTTCTTAAACCAAACCTCAGCTTCCCATTGGTGGAGAAATCCACCCACATGAGACACACAGGAGAACCGTCAGAGGGGCGACTTGCCAATATCGTTGTATGGAATCTCGTCTCTTTCGGTGTAGTGGCTGTACTTGATTATCTTCTCCACCCTGAAGGTCTGCTCGTGGAATTCTGTCTTCTTCAGGTCCTGGTCCCCTAGCACAACTTTTAGATGTTTGGCCTTTATGCTGCAGGGGAAAGTAAAATGGTGGGGAATTTGGGCTGGACAGTAAGAAGCAGGACCCAAGCCCTAGCTCTGCTCCTGGTGAGCTGTGTGATCTTTGACCCTGGCCTTCTGCAGCCTCAGTATCCTCATTCCTGGTCCTTTTCTCCTTCACAGAACCCTGCTGTGGGTTCCAAATAAAATAGTGTGGGAAACTGCTTTATTAATGGAAGTAGACTCTAGGTATGAGCTATTGCTTTATCCTCATTTTCCAGCGAGAACTTCTATTCTCTCTGGGCCTTAATAAAGGACCACTAAGGTCCTCAGCTGAACAAATTTGCTAAGATTCATTGGTAGGTGCCAAGTCTCCATGCCCAACTCTCTACAGGAGCACCGCCTAGAATCCCAGAAGAAATCATTTAATGACAGAATGGACTGAGAGACTGTCAGGGCCACCTCCAAAATCTGGAGCTCGGATCATGAACCAAGAGAATGCAGAGGAGGAGGTAATTCCTCAGCTCCTGGAATCACTTGCTTCTCTGAGGCACACAGGAGGCCTGGGTGAGGACACTCCACCCCACTGGCTCAATGATAAGAACATCAGACAGTGCAGCGGGTTATTTTTGTCTGCTCACAGCAGATCAATGTGAGTTTGGCTGCCATTTTCCTGCTTTCTTTCCATGCGGATTTAGGAAAGATGCTAAGCCTTTCCGAGATCCAGGTCCTTATTAATGAAAAGGGGAAAATACCGTCTTCCCCTTGACAGATATTTATTGAACATTTGCTACATTCAAAGACCTGCTGTAGGCACTGGGGATGCTACAGTGAATAAAACAGATACAAATCCTTGCCTTCCCTTGGCTTATCTTCCTGGAGCTAGTTTTGAGGATTAAATGTCATATAATACATGCAATGCCCATGGTAGGCAGTGTAGAAATGATAGCTCTTTTCCCTCTGGTCGTTTGAAGCCACCTTTTTGCTCTGAGCGTTTGGGAGGGGGAGGCTACCAGCCTGCATTCCAAATCTCCCAGTGTTCACTCACTCAGTACAATGGGCAGCAGTGAGCACCCAGCAGGGGTGGATCAGCACACCCGCGCAGAAGTGGCCTTGGGGCATGGAGGAGGCCAAAGGCAGTGAGGTCTGCAGGGATGCCTGCCACGGGTGCTTGCCCGCTGTGCTCTTAAAGCCTCCATAGATCCTCTTGATCTTCCTCTCTGCAACCTCAGTTCTCCCGCAGGAGTCAAATCCCAAAGGCTGGATTGAAGAGTCCACTGGGTTCTGTCCTGGGTTGTCAGTCTCTGCAGGACACAAGAAAAGTGATCATCCAATTGAGCCTCTTTCTCATCCCTTGGAAGGACCTGGCGCTAGATCTGACTCTGAGTCCAGCAGCTGAGCAAATGACCAGAGCTGAGAGCCTGCACTGGTCCACACAGGGTGCGGCTGGTGCACACTGGTATTTGTTGAATAACTTGATGAATATAAAACAAATCTTTAGAACTAAGAAAGAAGGGGCTGCTTTTTCCTCATTTCAAAGTGTGTGTGTGTGTGTGTGTGTGTACAGATTCATCATCTAGCTATCCATTAATGCCCACGCACGCACGCACACACACGCACACACGCACACATACACACACACACACGATATTTTGGAGGCTGTATCAGTGCAAAGGGGGAGGATCGTGGATGAAGTAGATCAGGGGAAAGGAGAATTTGCAGAGGGACCTGGGGTACAGAGGAGAGAGCAAGTGGTGTCTGAGTGTTGCCTTGTTCCCTTCCTTGGGCTGGTAAAGAGGGAGAGATAACACTTCACTCTGGAGACCAAAGAGGACTTCTCAGTGGAGGGGGATACTTGGGTTTGTTCCCTAACAATGGTTGGAATCAGACAAGAGCAGCTATGGCGTGGAGTAGTACAGAGGCAACCGGCAACCATAAGACCAAAGGCACAGATGCGAAACTTATCATGGAGGGCACCCTATTGGTCAGAGTGGGGTGGGCCAGGAAGACTGGCAGGAAGGCTGTGAGGCTGGAATTCAGGCCAAGTTGCATCCTGAGAGGCCATGGGGGCCTAGCCAATGTTTGATCCCCATTGCACACAGAGGGCTGGCCTAGTGCCAAGCACACCGCAAATGATCGACCCAGAGCTGTTGAGCACACTGACTTAGAGTCGGGAAACGAGTTTCTAGTTGGACACCTGGCCTGAGCTGACAAAGGCATCCTGTTCAGCCTCCTGAGCGGGGAGGTAGGTTGGCGCTGGGATGAGAGTTGGTAAAGCAGGTGTGGTGGGAGGACAGGGCGGGAAGGCTAGGGTGCCAGCAATATCTGTCTATGGACTATCACCTTCCCCCTGGGGGCCTGGGGACATCTATCAGCTTACCTAGAGTGGAGCAAGCTGGGACTTCACAGTACTCCCATTTCACCTTTTCACTATTAGCTTTAATAAAACACCAGGGCTTTTGGTCTCCGTCTGGGTTTCTAAAGTGAAAAACAACATAAGGAGGCATGGAGAATTGAACACAACCTCTTTGAAGGACCCTTGGATGAGAGGCTACTGCACTCTCCTACTTCCCCTGGGACCTCCAACAGCTTAGCAGACTGTGACCTAGAAGGTGGGTCAGAATTTATTTGACCAAACATTAACTTCTACTTTTTTTTTTTTGGTACAGGGAATCAAGTTCATGACCTCACACTTGCCAGGCAGACACTGTGCCACTGAGCTGAGCTATCTCCCAGGCCCTAAATATCTAGGGGAGAGTCCCAAGAACCAAGACATAGTTCACAGGTCTTGTTCTAGACCCATAGGGCACATCAAATTATTCAAAGGAAAGGAAATGAGGTCCCTCCTGAAGTCTTTCTTTGTCAGAGAAGTAAAATGACTGCAAAAACACAATGGGCTCTTCTGCTTGAACCTCTGAATCCCTGGCTTGGTAACTCTCTGAGGAAAGCTGTCAAGGAGGCCCTCACAGAGGTGGTAGCTAGAGGAGAGCGCAGACTGAAGGTAACTAGCGCTCATGCAAGGCAACTCCTCTTATTTGTAGAGGCAGTTTAAAGCCAGGCAAAGGATCCTGGTTGTTTGTATGCAAATCAACAAAAGCATTGGCCTTGGTTAGGCAGTGGAAGGAAGCCTTAAGAGTGGAATGGCCTGGAAGCAGCAAAAGAGGAAGGGGGGTAACTCCTGTCATTACCAGGGTGGTGTAACGGTTGCTACTTTATGTCAATTTGAGAAGTTTAGGGGGGATATAGCTCAGTGGCACAAGCACTGCCTGGTAGGCGATGAGGTCATGAGTTCAATTCCTGGTACCATGAAAAAAAAAAGGAGTTTAGAAGTACTAAGCCACTCAGCAGGAGGGTCAAGGTCTTTACTTGGTAAACATCCTCATCCTGTGCAAGAGGAAGGCACAGAGATAGTGTGAGTGACACACCAGCCCTGGGGTGGGGGTAGGGTAGCTTGCTTACACTATAAGGCAGGAAAAGAGGCTTGTTTGCCCTGTTTTTGCTTTTGCTGCTTTTGCTGTCTTCTGCCACCTTGAACTGTGGCCCATGTGGCCTGCCACCCTGCCTTGGAGCCAGCTGATTACAGACTGAATCTTCCACAAACTGTGAGCTAAATAAACCTTTCCATCTTTAATGTTTGGTGTCGGGTATTTTGTCTCAGCAACGAGAGAAAGGTAAGTAAAACAGGTGATCTTAGCATTATCCTACTCTGGAAAACGTGAGCCTCCTGTGGCAGAGACTGTATACTCATCAGACAGTCCATTTGCTGCTCTTCCTTTCTCCCCTAAAGTTACATGGGGCCATGTGACACCTTCTGGCCAATGAAATGTACATGGGAGATAACGTGTCACTTATAGGTTGAAGTAGTATTTTTAAAAATGCTCCATTTTTCTAACTTTCCATTTTCTTCTTGTCTTCCTGGGTATGTGAGAAACTATGTGGAGGTGAATTTCCTCCTATCACCTCCCCCAACCCACAGAACCCACACAGCATTAGTAAGAAACTTTGATTCATTTATGGCACTGAGATTGGGGACTGTTTGTCTCAGCAGCATAACCTCACCTGTCCTGATTGAGACAGTTTCCTTGACAGACAGTTAATGAATTTCAATGATCAGTTTCAAAATAAAGCTACCAAGACTGAGCGTAGAAGGTAATCTTTACCTGCAGAAGTTGTGCTCCCCGATCCCATGGCCCTCAGCATCCTCCATAAACATGTTGTAGTTCTCCTGCAAGAGGAGGTTGGAGTTCCAGTAAAGACATGTGTGCTGATTGACTGTCCTGCTCACTCTTCCCCGGTATGAGTAGCCATCACCAACATAGCAGTCATCAGAACCTCGGAGAGAGCAGGCAGGGATGTGAGAACTGGGAGCAGTGGGTACACCGTCCCTAGGAAGGCTGGTGGGTATATCAATGGTTAATAAGTTTGGACCTGGGCATTTTTCACCTTGAGATTTCACCACAACTTTACAGGGTGCTCCAGATCCAACCCAGCTTAAAAATGTGAAATATATTAGCTGAGAATGTAGGTGCGAACTTAATTATTTCATTTTGGCTTACAAAAGAACTACTGGGGGCTGGCTTGAGGCCCAGATATGCTCTGGTATATTTCATTGGCCTGCACTCCACATCAGAATATTATGTTCTTTACCTGGAGCCAGATGCACCTTATGCCCTTAGGTGAGAAGGCTGAGGCAGTACAATAAAGGAGCCTGGGCAACTTGATTTAAACCACATTCTGGCCACAAAACCCAAACAGAAAAGGATTTCAGATGCCTTGCATGGCCACGGATTTCTGGGGAAACGGTGTCAGAGGCCATACCTATTTCGCAGAATCTTCCGTTGAACTGGTCAGAACAGATGCACTTGAATCTGGATCTCCTCTTATGGCGCGAGCAGGTGCCGCCATTCTGGCAGGGATTTGGCCGGCACACTGAAAGCACTGTGAACACAGGGAGTGGGACCGGGATGGCTCCTCAGGAGGCAAAATCTCCACCTGAGGTGATGAGGCGATATGGATGACATTTTTCTGGTGTCACCCTTTCACAAAAAGCGGGTCACCAGATGGAAAGACAGATCCCTGAGACTCCAGCAAATGTACACACGAAGCTTGAGAGCATGAACAAGAATGGATAAAGTGGTAAGCATGGAAGCCAGGCCAAAAAATGGTGAACAGCAATGGCCCACTCGGTAAGATACAGCAAGAGGCATAGAAGGAATCTGGGCGTGGGCTTGTGTTAGGTTGAAACTTGGCTCTGGCCCTTTGTAGCGGTGTGGCCCTCAGCAACTTAGTTATCCTCTATGAATTTCAGTTTCTGCAACTGTAGAACTTCCTCGTAGTTTTTGGGATGATGTGAGAGAGAATATAAATCTTCTAGGACAGTGTCTGACTCACAATGGGATTCAAAATATACTGATCCCCAAACTTAGCTCATCTCAGGAATAGATTGGCACCTACTTCCTGCAGGAAGTGACTTTCAAGCTGATTCTTTTTTTTTTGGATGGGAAAGGACAGAGATCAGTCACTTCCTACAGGGCTCTCCAGGGATGATAGATTCATAAATATCCTAGTTAAAAGAACCACCTTGGGTGGCATAAAATCTTCAGATACACCTGCCACATGTAGGATGCAGATTCCAGACACTAGCTAGGGCAGAGAGCCTCTCAGGAAAGGGGTCTCCACCACTTACCTCTGGAACAGTCTGGACCTGTGTAAGGGTGTCTGCAGGCACAGCGGTAGTAGGGAGGACTCCGGGTGATGAGACATTCACCTTGGCCACATGGGTTGTTCTTGCACCTGGTTTCCACTGTAGGAGATTCATAGGGAAGTAAATGGGAAAGTACAAGAGAGTATTTGAAGCACATTTTACTTAAAGTGATACCTGTACAGCACAATGTTTGGGGTGGGTGCGGCTGACCTGGGCCTTGTCCATGGTTCTGAAATACCACGCCAACCAAAGACAGGCTTCTCTTATGCTGGGATCATGGGTGATTGCTTCCTGTGTGCCCTTTGCAGCTCATAGTTCTGTATTTCTCTATTTTTATAAAAGCTTGGTTAAATGTGAACGTCTCCAACAAACAGAGGTGCAACTTTGATCTCTCCATCTTATAACTGACTTGTCTTTATCATTTTGTCATTCTTTTGAGAAGTTGAGGGATCAACCCAAATGCTATGTTTATGCCCAATGTTACTCTGAGACATTTATTGAAAGGGTATCAATTCTGAAAACAGATGGAATTCATGAGGAGGACACAGAGGGAAAGAAGTCAATTACAAAGCTCTCTATACTCTTAAAACACTACTCACTACCCCCAACCCAGTTAGATGGTTGCTACATTGGACAGGATCTGGATTCTCCTTAGGGACAAAATCACCTAATGCTATGTGCCATGGCCTCACATGATGCCAAAGGAGCTTGCCAAAGGAAGAGCCCTTGATGTTGGTGTATTCAAAGAACACTGGTCAGCAGTCAGGCACCAAGGCTGTAATTTCTATTCAGTCCCTAGTTAGCTGTGTGTCATGAGCAAGTGTCTGCCTTTCCTGGGTTCTCTGCCTCTGGCTTGGGTGTTATATGCCCTGAAAACCTTCCCACTGTCCCATTTGAGGACAATATTTCTCTGTTGCTGTTAGTCTCACCATTCAAAAATCAAAACCCTGAGTTTGAAATACAGTATATCTTGATTATATTCCAGATCTATCCAGATCTATTAGCCTCAATCTTCTCATCTGTACAATAGACATACTAGTTTGATCTCAGAGTGTGGGGAGTTCTGCCTGTGACCTGCATTAGGCACGACACATGTTTGCAGCTATCATCCATTCTGTGGGTTCACTCAGCCCTTCCTTACCACCCAGGTTTGGAGCAGGAATGGCTCCTTGTTTAATCCAAGAGCAGAGCGAATCTGGGGTGGATGTACTCACCGCTCTGACACCTGTTCCCAGAGAAGGGGGACCGACAGCTGCACCTGAAGGTGTCCCCAGTAATGACGCAGCTCCCACCGTGTTCACAGGGATTGGACTGGCACGGATCTAAGACACACAAGCAGTTGTCAAGGTCCAGAAGGGGCAGCTCATGAGAACCCCCCACTTCTCATCTACTTTTCCTCTCCTGCTCCAAAAGACAGTAGCCACAGAGCCAGGGATCGGGCAAAGGGGGAGACACACGTCATCCTTAAAGATCAAGGAGAACTGAGGCTGGAGGGCCAGAGAGAGGGACTCTGGAAGAGGGTAAGCAGAGAGGCAGGGAAGACTTGCTACTGTGTCTTCTCAGTCTGGATTGGATGGGGCTTTTCTCATTGAGAAACTCCTCATTTCCCTCATGAGTGTTTTTCTCCTCCCATCTCGCTGGGAGTGCATAGGGTCTGTCTCTGATGCTGAAGGCATTTCACAAGCCCGAGACCTCCCCTACTTCCAGTGCCCAGGGGTGGAGGTCAGGAGTGGGGGAAAAGCCCACCCCTAATGAAACACAAGCTTTCTGAACTTCAGGAGAGAAGACCAAAGGCAAGAGGGTGACAGAAGAATTGACGGCGAGGAGGAAATGACCCAGTGGCCTTCATCTTTCTTCAACTACTTGTTCAGTTAGATTTTGTCATATTTCATCTGTGCCTTTGGCTTTTCATGGTTGTCTGAATGGATCTTCCCTTGGGGAATTCTTTATCCTTCTGTTCACACACATTGTTCTTTGGTTCAGGAACTAGGATCCCTGGGCCTGGCTCTTGTTTTGATGGTCCCTTCTGATGTTTCCCTGATGCCCTGTATCTTGGCCCTGCCTTCCAGGCCACTTCGCACAGTTACACAGCTTTTATTCCAGCTGCCGAGCACTTTCCATGCTTTCTCCTGAATTAGGTACACAGGTTTTGCTCGGACCCAGCTTCTTGTTTTCCTTTCTGTTCCACTGCTCTGGTTAAGAAGCCACAACACAGAAACATGCGTGGTCAAAGCATATGCATGTGACTGCACACTGCATACACACACACACACACACACACACACACACACACACACACACACATTCATGCATCCTAACAACCGCGAAAAGTTTCTGAAGAGTGAAAAGAGAAAGAAAAACAGAGCAAAGATGGAAGGGAAGAAAAGTCTTAAATTCAACTTGTAATTGCTACAGCCCGATGCTCAGTGCTAACTTAGATTCTTCTGCATAATTAGATCCTAATCTGAGATCAAAGTGATGGAAACGGCTTTGAACATGACAACCATTCTCAGTGTCAGGGGGTTCTGCATAGTGAGGTGTTAACTTTCTACATGACCTTGGCCATATCAGCTACTCGCCTGGCCTGGCTTACTTTGTCTGTCATTTGAGGGTGGGGTACATGGTCTCCAAAAACCTTGCAGTTCTCGTGATATGTGTTTCTAACTGAAAGACAACCACTCTGAACAATTTTTTTTCAATACCTCTTTTTGGTGCTGGTCAGAGAGGAGAGGAGAGGAGAGGAGAAGAGAAGAGAGGAGAGGACAGGAGAAGAGTGAGGAGAGGGGAGGGGAGGGAGTAGGATGGGAGGGGAGGGGAGGGGATGGGAGGAGAGAGAAGCCCTTCTATATGGCTACACGTAAACTCCCCTGAGCATGTTGCCCTCCTGTGAATGGATGTAGCACTCACCATCACCTGCATAATACCAGTCAGGATTCTCAGAGTAGGCCAGTGAAGAATTGGTGTTCTTGTCCTGGTTGTCTTTCTCATAGCTGTAGTCATACAAGTCAGGGGTCCAATCTGTGTGGTGGGAACAGAACAGATGAAACTCTTATCATTATACTTAAATAAGGTAGCATTTTATTTAGCTGAACTTTTCTCCAAGAACTCAAAGTCCTTAAGCAGGGATCATGTCTTTCCAGCTCTTCACACTGATGGGGATGGATAGGAAGGTTCAGGCCGTGTGACTTCATTCAGAGGGTGCTATGACCTAACAAGGCAATGTTGGCATTAGGCAGACTCAAGAGCGCTTGACTGAGAAGTCAAGGCCCAACATTCTACCGACTGTGACCTTGGAAAACAAATGACATTCTTGGTGCCTTGGTTTTTGCATCTTTGTACAGGAGGAAGAGGACTGGGGTCCAGAAGGTCTCCACAGTCCTACATGGGGTCTTCCAGGGTCAGACCATGTGGCACTTGAGTACTTCACTGGGAGGTTCTGTGAATACTATTTCTTAATGAGACCTTGTTCATCGTCTTAGTTTAATGAAGTGAAAGAAACCTGTCACTTTCCTTTTGGTCATGGCATCAAACTTCTCCCAAGTTTAATTTATTGAGCCTTTTCTCTGTAGCAGGCCCTCTGGTACACATTTCCATGCACCATTTCATTTCACCCTCGTAGGAATCTAGGAAGTGTATTATCTGCCTGGAGGTGGGTAGGTTAAGTGCTTGGCCTGAGGTCACATGGATGATACATACCAGGGTTTAGACTAAGGCGGTTGATCTCCACATAACCACTAAATTTCACTAGTTCAATGCCAATGCTCAAGTGCTTGCACTGTCATCTTACATTGGCTCGGATTCACTCACACTTACCTTGGAAAAGAGCGTCCAACCATGCTTATTGAATATCCAGCTTACTAATTAGCAGCCACTCAAGTACAACCTTGAGAGCCAGGATCTGGCCTACTGAAAGAGAAGGCAGTGTGTGGAGTCGACCGCAACTGCAAGCCCCTTACTAGTCTTGACTTTGGAAAAAACAGGTAAATGTAAACCCGGGTTCAAGCGCTTTGTTGTCTGGAGCCTGGGAAGATGCTGATAGCTCCATGGCTTGTGGAGAGAAGTTTGGAGTTTGAAGAAAGTTAGGTTAATTTTGCTCTTTCCAGGGATGGGAGTGCAGCAGGTTGGCACGCTGAAGCTGGAGGAAGCTGTCCAGAGATGCATATGATAATGAGGCAGGGCAGGAAAGCAGAGAGCAGACTTGAAAAGGGTTCTGACAGAGCAGGCTGACGGGGTGGAGGCCACACTCTACCTGAGCCTGATTATCAACCACATTATCTCACTCATCCCTCAGTCATTCTGTTATAGTCTTTATCTCTTTGGCTTTTGAAAAATCAACTTTTGCACAATGGCTGTTTTATATTTCCATTAAAATGGAACTCTCTTTTTATTTCTTTTTTGAATATGCCAACTCTGGTTCCTTGGCAAGGCTTCGCCTCATTTATCACAGTGTCAAGTCAAGACTCCCTTTGCCTGCTCATTATTTCTCTGAGCTGCTTTTCCTCACTATGAAAATGTTCCCAGAGGAGGCCACCTTTCCAAGGACGAGGATCTAGGTTGAAGGTAAGGCCATTGTCTTCCTGGAGCAAATAAAGTTTCCTTCCATCTAGCACAATAAAGCAGAGACAGAGAGTGCGAAAGGGAGGAAAAAATGTCATTCTGAGTTTGTATACATGAAAGGTTTCATCTGGAAGAGACAATGACGTGATCACATCATTTCTTTCCTTTTTTCCTTTGGAAAAATTATTTTTGTTTTTCCAACAGGTGTTTACAGATAAGCAACCTTCACTTTGCTCCTGTAATTTCTCCCATCACTCCCAGAGGTGAGAGTCAGACTGTTCAGTCTTGGCTATATCACTAAGAACACCTTCCCCAGCGCCAAGAAATGGAAGGGCATAAATTCTTACATAGTTGGGATGGTGTAACTTTTCCAGGTGATGGGAGATGGATGAAATGTCTGTTGGAGGATTTAGACTTGAATCTTTACTTACAAGGTCTGTTCATCTTTCAGTCAAGCAGTGTGACCATTCATCCTGATATGAGAGCTTCACTGGATTAAGCAACATCTAGCACAATAATAAAGCCTGCCCCAAGGGATGTTCAAGTGGGTCATGGAACTGTGGCCTTGGGTACTACACATGGTCCCTTACCCCATTCCTCTCTGGCACTGTTCCTCTGCTCTGCTTTCCCAGCCTCCATGAACTAAGCAGCTTTGCTCTACCACACCCACCTGCCATGAAGTTTCTGCCTTGGTGCCAGCTGACCATGGACTGAAACCTCAGAAACCATGAATAAAATTAGACCTCTCCTCCTTTAAGTTATGGGTGTCAGGTATTGTGTCTCAGCAATGAGAAAGTTGACTGACACAAGCTGAATGGGAATAAAACATATAGACTCTGAATCATATTCTTGCTAAGCTAGACAGTAACTCCTTTCTATCCACTAGGATCCAAAAACCTTGGTGGAACCCAGCAAAAGTTCAGTGGCCTCCGATCCCTGGGGCAGAAGCCGTCCAGCTGTGGAAGGCCATAAAAGAACGACACCAAGGTCCTTTACATTTGAGTGGCTTCAGGGTACGCTGGAGGTGCAGTGTGGAAAGGGTCATCTGGGAGGGCTGCTCCACCTCCACATTTAAAGATTATTTTTTTCCATTACACTGGCACTGAATGTTATTATATATATAAGAAACTTGTGCATTTACAATTGGCTGAGTGTGATGCCAGGTGCCAGAGATATTGGGGACAGTGGAGAGTTACACAGTTACACAAGTAAGAGTGGGATGTGGGGTTGTCTTCAAAGCAACTTCCAGGCTGAGTTGATTGAGGGAAGAAAGCCAGCCAAAGAGAAAGAGTAAAGGGTAGTGAAGAGGTAGGGAAGCCAGATGCAGCCAAGTCCAGGTCTAGAAACCTCACATTCTATATGGAGACTCTGGGTTGGCTTGAGCCAATCTGACGACAGAAGTGCCTCAGTTCTCCACCTCTCTCGGAATTTATGCAACTTGGCAGCTCAATTTCCCACCCATTGTGTCTAGATCAGTCTTGGTTTTTTTCTGGTATCAGGAATCGAACTCAGGATCTTGCACTTGCAAGGCAGGCACTGCTGCTGAGCCAAATCCCCAGCCCCCTAGGTCATCCTTGGGACTAATGCATTTGTGAAGATGTTCCAGCTCCATGCCTGGCTTTGGGAAGTCTCTCCTCCCTCTCCTCTCCCCTTCCTCTTTCCTCCTCCTTCTCCTTCTGCTCCTTTCCTTCCTTCACCTCCTCCTTTCCCTCCAGGTTCCCTCTCTCCCATATGACTGCCATATGAGCAGTGTGGTCTATTTTGCAAGACCATAAGAAGATATGTGAGGCAGCAGCAGGCCCAGTGGTCCCAGCTTAGGCCTCATACATATGAAGAAGCTTAGTGATGATCAGTAAATTGAGAGTCCAGCCAAATCACCTGCTGGCTGCTGACGCATGAGGAGATGCAGCTCTGATCAGCAGAACCTGCTCCATACCAGAAGAACTGCCTAACTGAACCCAACCAAATTGCTGATTCAAAGAATTCATATCTAAATGCATGGTTAATGGCTGGGGCCACAGAGTTTGGGGTAGTGTGTTATGCAATAGTACCAGCATTTGCCCAGGGGTTGATTAATACTAGGTTGCAGGTGGGCTAAGCATCTTAGATATAGGAGTATTTTCTATTGGTCTAGTTGGCTGCAGAGTTTTGGTTAGTGGCTTTGTCTCAGATGGCGCCTCTCTCTGAGAAATAGCTTGGTTTATCTGATTCCTCTCCTCTACTGGATAGTTAGCTTCTTAAGAGCAAGAACTACTGGATTCTATCCCATAGTGCTCAGCATAGGTCAGCTGTTGTGTTTGACAGATGGATTTTTTTCCCCTCTGTGGCCAAGCCTCCCTGCTTTCTGATTGGTTGGCACATAGCCCTGTCTACAATGATGGATTCTGCTGGAAGAAGACCCAGTGTGGAATTTGGGAAAGAAGCTATGTGAGATTTGGCTCATAAGTATTTAGTGAAGAAAATTCCTTGCAAGCTCCATAGGAATCTATGAACTTGTCCAAATCCTCTCCTAGAGAAAGGACTTGTTGCCTGGAATAATATCTGGTTCCATGGGTCCATTGTAGAAAACCACTTTGGGTTTGAGTTCAGATTATTTGAGATCTTCTCTGGGGCGTACAAAAGGAAGAGCTTTGTGGAAGAAATGGGTGGCTGTCTGAAGCATTTCCTTTTAGGAGAAAAGGAAAAAGAAATCCATGTGGATTTGTCTACCAAGGTCTTTTTCTAGAAATTCTGGGGGAAGAATGTTGAGAGTATCCTGAGTTAACTCAAACAATCATTGTTTCCTATTGAATATTTTTATGTGTTAGACATTAGATAAAGTCAATATGGTTGAACACAATCATATTTAACTTTGAAACAAGGCCCTGGCATCTGTATCATTGTACCTGCTCTACAGATCAATAAATACCAGGGCAAAAGAGTGTAGTGTCTTAAACCAGGTTTACCTAACTCCAAAGCTTGTCTGTCTTTTTATGAGCCGGGAGCCTTTGGTGGCTTTTGTGTTTCAGAAACTCCATGGGTTTTTGCTTTCAGGAAGTTACACAGATCAAGAAAACTTCTTGAGTACAACCTCCCAGTCCCCTGACCGGGATCACTACGGTCCATGTTTAGGGTCTCTCCACAAAACCTCAGAGTTCCTGCAATGGGAACTTCACAGCTGCTCCAATTAAAGAGCTTGCCAGATGTGTGGAACGGAATGAACATCTCCGGAATGTCGTCCCTGTTGGCGTCATCCATCACCGTGGCACAGACAGCTCCTCCGAGGGGCTCTCCCAGGCCCCAGCCCTGTCGGACTGCGTTTGACGCTTCCAATCTGGCTGACGGAGTGAGGCCAGCAGAGAGCCTCGCTGGCAGGGAGCGGGACAGCTGATGGATGGGCTCAGCCCGTGGTGCTGGGCAGTGCCAAGCCAGCTTTGAAGAGGCATTTCCGCGGGCCTGCTGGCTGTGCGTCGCCTGCTTTGGGGAGACAGGCGGGGTCTGCGCTGTTTGATGGCCACCTCCCCTGCCACCACCCACAGGGGACCATGGACCAGGTACCTTCTGCTCCAGCCAGGCCCTCACCGTGCACTGTCTCCAGCAAGACCAACCGAAGCAACAGCTTGCCTGCGGGCATGAGTGCACGGGCACGGTGTCTCCGCGCTGTGCTGTTGTCTGAAGCCAGCAGCGATCTGGCAAATTCCATCAAAGCACAACCCCGGCATGCAATTAAATCAGGTGCCCGCCTCTGATGCTCTTAGAACCTAACCTACCCTGCACGGGGAGGCCCAGCCACTCCAGCTCACCTGCCCCACGGCCGGAGGCTAACAGAACACCTCCAGATGGACTCTGGGGCCCAGCAGAGGCCTGCTCCTGAGCCCTTCACTTGTTCACCAAATCCTCAGGAGCTATTAGTAGAGTTTTATTTAGAGCCTAGATTCTCAGGATACTAAATCCAGGACTCTCCATGCTCTCCTTTTAGGCTATTTTTCAACCTGCACTTAACTATCTCTGGTGATGGGGAACTTATTACCTCTGCAGAGCCCAACAGCTCACTCACATTTGACCCTTTTGTTTTTAATATACTGAATTAAAGCTACAAACCTTATGGACACATGGAAGGAGTACACTCCCTTGTCTGTGATCTCTGCCTTCCAGTTGTTCAAACTGTTCACTGAACAGTGTGTCATAAACTCATGGCAGACGTGTTTCCCAGCTTTCTGGAAGATGGCAGCAGAGTGTTTTGAGGTAATTCCCACAAAGCTACCTTGCAGATGAGGGGAAAGTCTACTTTCCAAGCACTGGAAAAAAGCAAGGCCCCTTGAGTCCTGCTGACCCTGTCTCCTCCTGTGTGGCCCCACAGCTTCTGCAGCCCTGTCTCTGACGCTCAGGCCCAAAGAGTGGTGTCCCAGTGATCTGAGGGACACGCAGCCCTGGCAGCGCCTGGCCAGCGCCCCTCCCTGGAGCCACCGCAGGAGGGCTGTGGCCACCAGCAAGGGCGACCCTCTGAATCTGGCCCTTCTGGAAGCTAACTGAATATTGTTGAATACTCTCATTCCCCTTAGAGAAAGGCGCAGTTTCTCTCAGAAACGCACAGGCCGTGCCTCTGGGTATTTCTGTTGCATTCCCTGAGCATAGGGGGTGGGACAAAGACTTGGCCTGGTGCACTCCGAGCCTCTATCATTCTCTGCCATCCACACCTTAGCAGCTGGGAGCACTGACTGCCGACTGCACTTGGCCCAGTCACCGCCATCTTTGCTCCAAGTAAATCCCCGAAGGGAGTGGAGACACAGGCAGAGCCTCCCTGTGCCAGCCTCTGGTCCTCTGCGGTGAGCAGCCCAGGGCCCTGCCCTGGGGGATTCAGCCTTTGGCCAAATGGAGCAGTGGAGAGATTCTCCCCTGGAACTCCAAGCAGCCAGGAGAGCCTGGGACCCCTGTTGGGTGGGGGACACCTTGAGCCTCAGACAGAGGCAATGGTCGGGGTGCTAGTGTGAGCCGTCTCAGGCCCGGTCATTCCTGGGCTGCTTGCCACAAGTCTGGGCTCCCCGCGGGGTCTGTGCGTGTACCTCAGGCCTGCAGAGAGCTGCCCATGGCCCAGTGACACCCTTGCTTTCCCTCTTCACCTTCTCTCAGCCACTAGTGGGCTGTGCCACCAGAGCAAGTTGCTGCTCCTCTTTGCGGTCCCGTGTCCGGCTCTAAAATCGAGGAACTTAACTACAGCAGCATTTTCCTGTTGGGGTCCTGAGACTGGCCATGAGGGAATCATGCAAAGTGTTGAGTGAATGTGATGTTTCCGAGCACATGCTCCCAAAGGGGCTGTGGTATTTCTGAACCAGTTCAACTCTGAGGTCCCTCCAATACTTCCCTGCTTGCGACCTTCCTCCACCCCGGAACCAGTGTGTGGTGGGTGAGAAGCCCTGGGGTGATCAGCACACTCACCGGGGTCCAGGTCATCGGGAAACGGCTTCAAGAAGAACTGAAAAACAAAGTGACACAGAGCGGAACACACTGAGTCAGGCAGGGCCTGAGCAGCTGTGAGCCACAGAGGACCACATCCAGGGTGCAGGGCAAGGGGTGCTTGCAGGACTCGAACTGCTTGTCGCACCAGGAGACAAGCGGCCCCAGGACTGCTGTCCTTATCAGTAGGGGTGGTCACACCACTCTCTGCCTGACTGTGCGCTGGTGTCTGACATTCTTCCAACAACGCTCTTAGCCGTACTCGGGAAGAGAAAATGTAGACCCAGATGTCACATAGCTGTGGTAAGATTGGGGTGTATGCTCAAGTTGCAGTGATTTTTGAGGGGTGATAACCTTCCCGTACATTGGAAAGAAATGAATGCTTACATCTCTCTAGAGACTTCCCAATGTTCTTGGAATAAAATACAAATACCTGTCATGACCTACAAAGCTCCTCCCATAATTCCACCACTCCAGTCTTCTGTACTAAGCTCCAGTCATATCTGGCTTCAAAATGGCGCCAGCTAAGTGCCCTCTCTCCCCAGGCCCTTTGCACTGACTGTGCCCTCTGCCTGGGACTTTTTCACGACTTTCACTATGTCTCAGTTTAAATGTCACTGTCTTAAGGCTTTCTCAGGCCTTTTCTAAATGCCCTATCAGTACAGCCCCCTCCCCCAAATCCCATTATTTGGTTTCTGTACCTGCTCATTCCCTTCATGGTCCTTATTACAGTATACTGTTCTATATTTATCGTCACGTCCTCTATCGCTCACGTCAGACCCTGTCCTAAGGGAGATTGTCTGGTTCATCATTGACGAATAAATAACCCAACGCTTACTTAGCACAGTACTCAGGACAGGGCATCGCCCAAAAAGTTTTTGCTGAATAAATAAATAATGACATGAATAGCTCCTTTTAGCATACAGCACTTGGCAGGAAAAGAAAGTTTTGTTTATCTAATAACTGGAATATGTTCCTTCATTTACAGCATAGATCAGCATGTTAAGGCCCTTGTTAAAGCCTGCCAGGTGTGTTTTTATAAATAAAGTTTTATTGGAAAACAGTCATGCTTGTTTGTTTATATATATATATTTAGTATATGTGCTGCTGAAGTGAGCACTGTTTATATTTTCTATAGCTACTTTTGTGTTACAATAGCAGAATAGTTGTGACAGAGAAAATGTTTCTCAAAAAATGTACTATCTGGCACTCTTCAGACAAAGCTTTCTGAACTCTAATGTAGAACGTGACAGTTTTATCACTTGATAGTTTTTCCTTTGGGTCTTGGCTGTAGACATCTGAACTTTATGCAATGAATTTTCACGGTACCCACATAAATCATGCAGTTTAGTATGTTTGTTTCTCTATCTTTGGTGGAATTTTTAATTTTCTATTTTACCGTGGGACTCCTTAAGCAGTTTGAGAAAGTAAGCAGATGATAAATTAGAAAGAAAAATAGAAAAATGCACCTGGTATGATGTACTGAGCACACAACATCACAAACAGCACTGTTGACAAAAAGAAATGTATATTTTAGAACTACTTGTTCTGGGTTGGGTGGGGTGGCATGTCTGTAATTCCAGGAATTGGGAGGCTGAGGCAAGAGGATTGCCATGAGTTTGAGCCCAGCCTGAGCTACATAATGAGTTCAAGGCCAGCCTGACCTGCACCGTGAAACCCTGTCTAAAAAAAAAAAATGTCTACTTATGTGTCACATCATGCATCTGGACTGGGCGATCCAAACTGTCATTTAACAAAACACTTAACCTAACTCTACAAAAATGTTAATGTCATAAAAGACAGAGAACTTGGAGGACTGCGCTTTACTGAGAGATACAACAAATCAATGCATCTTTGATTGGATCCTGGATTTTTTTTAAAAAAAGATATAAAGGGGACTGTTGGGATAATTGAGAGATTGAAACACAAACTTTCATTCAGTAGTACTACTGTGTCAATGTTCAGTTTTTTGAGAGTGGAGAATGGGATCATAACGGTAAAGGAAAATGCCCTTACTTTTTTTATTCCAGTACTGGGTGTTTGGGAATTGCACATGGGACTGCTCTGTTTCTACAGGGAACAGACAAGAGACAGGTATTTGGCTTAGGGCATGGGAAGGGGTGAATAGTAGGGGGGTTTGCTGAAAAGGAATATTCAGGTCTCAGGGGGCCAGGTACCCTGGGCCTGGGCGCTTGAACAGGGAGCAACAGCCATGGATACTGGGTGTGTATGCCAGGGCCAGCCCTCTCTCCCTGAATTTTTGTATTGGAGCTGAGTAGAGGGCCAGGGCAGGAGAGAGGACTCTGGGGTACGTCCTTCCTGCCGGACCTGCGCCCCAGGCCAGAGACGAGTCTCAGCTCTAGCTGGAGCCGGAGTGGCCAGGTGTCGTGCTCCCCATGGCCAGCAGGTGGCATACGTGCCCTTCGCAGGCGAGGGTGCTGGAGGGTAACCAAACCCAAGAAGCTGGAACTTCCAGGTGAAGCCGACCCGGCGGACTCCTGGCTCCCAGCGAGCCCTAGACAGGCACGGTCTGGTCACGTGGGAGCCACAGAGACGCTGTGGTGCGAGGTGGAGGCTGGGTATATAGGGGCCCTGTGGGCAAGGCCTGGACGACGGCGCGGGTGGGAGGGTGGACAGTCTGCCCCCTTTCTCGTTATCATTCTGTTCCACTTTTCCACAGGGGCAGCAAGATGACAGAAAAACTCTCACTCCTGAAACTTGCAATCCAGAGGAGGAGAAGTAAGGAGAAGGGATGAGAATGATGGGCTCACATTCATTAAGAGCTAACCGTGAGCCGGGGACTGTGCGAAGTGTTTTACGTGAGTTTAGTCTTGTTTATTACACACCATGCTTGGTAAGTTAGGTGCTGTAATTATGTCCATTTTAGGGGTGAGAAAACTGAGGCTTGCAGAGATGAAGTTGTCCACAGAAACAGAGCTAATCAGTGCTGGAGCAGGACTATACTAGAGTCAGTCTTCTGTCAGGGCCCTTGTTCTAGTCAGGCTTTCTCTCAGGAATGAGGGAGCCATGCCCCGTGCACAGTGCAGCAAAAGGATGGAGGAGAAAGAGACCGAAGAACTTCTAACCCTGAAAGAAGCCCGTGTTAAGTGAGGCTGAGATATCAGGGCCCCTGTTCTTAGACAGCTCTATGTGAAGCCTGCCCACACCGGCTTCGGCCTGCCTGGCCATAGAGAAGGTCATTCGAGCCCTGCCAGTCCACATCTTGATGACGGTCTCCGCCGAGATCAAAGGGCACACGAGGTGCTGTCTGCTTCTCCAACCACCCGCACGCACACCGCATGTGATCCCAAATGACCAGCTCCTTCCAGAGACTGGGCATGGGTGATTCTCACACATGGAAAGGTGGTGCTTTGCCATGAGTTTAGAAAGACCACTCTGGACCCACTTGGTGCTCCTTCCACCCCGTGCTTGAGCTTCATTGATAGATCCACAGCGTAGAGCGTTGACCTTCCCAAGAGCCGGAGCAGGCCCTTGACCATGTTAGACTCCCCCCAGCCACACTGAGCTTAGCTCAGGTCTGGTGTCTTCTCGTAAATGGTCAGTAAGAAAGGGAGGGACAGATCTGAGCCTTAATGATTTACTGTATAACTTTCCTGGGGGCCAGGGGTTATTGGGTCTGATTGATTTTGTCCTATCTCTTATCTGGTGATTTTTTTCAACTCAGGTTCTTCCTCTGCCTTACTCCTAAACTTTCTGGCAAACAAAACAAAACGGTTGAGGCTGGAAGTCTGAGTTGATGTGCTCAAGAATTACATATAGCTGGCAGAAAATGTTCTCAGACGATTGGGAGACAGTGCAGGGAATGTGGGGCTAGATCTGTCCATCAGGCTAGAGGGTCAACGCAGATGAACCAAGAGCAGAGAAATCTTTCTCCTGGTAGATAAAAGGTTGGGACTTTTACCCCAGCCATCTTTCTTCCATGGGCATTCAGGTACTTGGGAGATGTTGCCTGCCACCAGGGAATGATTATATCATGCCCAAGGGCAGTGGGCGGCAGAGAGCTGTGTGCTATGGCCAAGCTTCCCTGCAGCTGCAGGGCTGGGAGGCGTGGACAGGGTGAGTGCACACAGTTCAGCAGGGCCAGTCCCACAGTGGGCATAGCTCCAGGGCGGAGTGAACAGGAGAGGTGGCAGAGGACAGTAATAACCAGTGTGCAGGGCTAGAGATATGGCTGAGTGGCACAGTGCCTGCTTGGCAAGTGCAGGGTCCTGAGTTTGATTCCTGATACCCCCCCCCCCCGCAAAAAGAATAAAAAGAACCAGTGTCAGGTCACCCCATGAAATCCTGCTGTTCTGCTCCTGTTGGGACCATCAGCACTATACAATTTTATTTCCTCTCTCTCTCTTTCTCCATATATACATATATATATCCAACATAATAGATACCAGTCCACACTGAGTTGTTTTATATAGTGCTAGGGTTATTGTACTAAGCTATATCTCCATCCTTTTTCTCATATATATTTTTGAAAATTTTCAGACAGGGTCTCACTAAGTTGCTAAGTTGTCCAGACTGGGCTCAAACTTGCCAGCCCCCCGCCTCAGCTTCCCAGAGTGCTGAGATCATAGGCACGCACCATGACACCTGGCTCACTGTCGTTTTCACTCGTGAGGAATCTTGCCCTTCTCGTTTTAGCACTCAAGGTGCTCGACTGCCCCAGGATTGCCGTGTTCTGCGGCTGTGCTTTAACCTGGGGCTCAGGGGAGGAGGGAAAGCTGTAGTAGCGAAGTCTGTACGCCACGGGAGAAGGCACGGGCTATGGTCTCTGGAGGTGATTCTCTGATTGGGTGCCTGGGTGGAGCTGTTCATAGAGAGGAACTGACTGGAGAGCCTTCATCCTCAAAGGAGGAAGGGGAGGCCCGGTGAAGTGGCTTGTGTAGGGACCTGAGCACACAGGGCGGGGAGACACTGGAGCCCAGGTCTCCCGGCTCTGACACTAAGCACTCGTGCCTGGCTCAGAGGGACTCTGTGCGGCTGTCCTGCTCCAAAGTGCAGGGTTGGCCCACTCAGGCCCCTGCGCAGTCCTCCAGGAGCTGGCTGCAGCTTCCTGTGGCAGTGGCATGGAAACATAGGACAAGAGTGGGGGGCAGGCAGGGAGGAACTCTTCTGTGTACCCCAGAAATTTCACTTTAAGACAGTAGTTCTCAAACTGCAGTGTGCAGAGGGATCGTGGGGAGGCCGTAGTAACAATACAGAGCCCTGGGCCAGCTGCGCAGTGGAGCTTCCGTGGGGCTGGCTGGCCCAGAATGTGCATTTTCAGCCAGTGCCAGGTGACCTTGGCCTTGGCCACACCCGAATTACACCAAGGTCTCTGAGGCATGAAGTTCCTGGCCAAGGAGACTGGCTTATCGTTGCCCCATGCCTCCGTTTCCTCAGTTACACAAATCAGAACTTCCGTACCCAGGCTGGGTAGGGACCTGAGCATACGGGGTGTTTGATTGGAGAGTGTTTGACTGCTCAGGAGTGCACAGCATTTGCAGTGGCTCCCTCTTTGGCCCAACACTTGGAGAAAGAGCTGCGCAAATGGGTCATCCCAGGTACTCGGGTCCTACAGATTTGGGTGGGAGGAGGCTGGGGTTGAAGGTCAGAAAGCGAGCTCATCTAGGACCAAGAGGGGAGAGACACAAATCCTCATTTTTGGATGTGATAATGCACCGAGAAACCCTTTGAAAAGGCCAGTGAATGGACAAAGCAAAAGACTGGGCCAGGTCTGGGGCTAGCACATGGGCATGAGCCCCACATTAACCTTGGCCAGGCTGCCTCAGCAAATGGCCCAGGGCTTCAGCAAGGTGCGTGGCCCCTGCTGGGAACCAACTCCACATGGAAGCTCCCCACACTTCTCTGCTTCTTGTGCTGTGGTGGGTGGACCACTGTGACACTGAGCTCCTATAGGAGCGTGGCCAGAGCGTGAAATAGCATCAACGGTGTGAGAGTCATTCCCTTCTCAAGCTCACTTGCGTCCTCTCAATCCCACCACAGGGTGGCGCCAGTTCATCTCCATCCTCCACAACTTGCTGATCTCCCCTCTAGCAACAAGTCATCTTCAGGCTCAGAGTGTCAGCCTGAGGCCATCAGGCAGCTAGAATTGAGTGACACCACTTTGCTTTCTTTGATTCTTCATTGATAGGGGAGACAATTCCCTTAAAAATAAATCAGTGTAGGTAGAGACAAGGTGATTCTGTTTAACAGAAATATTAAGAAAGTAGTTTGGGCTGTGGCAAATTTTCTGAAGATGGAGTCACTCATGGCTTAGGTTTTAGAAGCACCTGGCAAGACTTAACCTTCTACTGCCTGGAAGTAGAGCTTTAGGGGTGAAGCAGGATCTTTAGTGGGATCAACTTCATCTGCTGCTGGAAGCTGGAGCCTGAGGCCACCACTCAGCCTGACACCTCTGCTCCACACTGGATAGTTGGGCTGTTTTGGGGCTGGTCCTGACATAATGCTCTAACCACGGTAATTACATGCAGGGAAGCTGGTACGGGGCAGACGGGTTTGACTGGGTGGTACTTGGGCAGATTATTTAACTGCTCTGTAGTTTAGCTTTTTATATGTGAAATGAGGGTGACAGTGGTACCCACCTCAGGTTGTTGGAAAGCTCAAAGGAGAAAATTAAACATGAAGCATGTGGTAAACTTAACAAACGGTTGCTGCTATTATTACTATTATTAGCTGTTCTTGTCAGTGAGCTTGGAATTTTCTTTCTTTTTTTGCAAATCCCTGAGTGCAGCCTGGGGGAGGGGCAGAGGCACGAGAACGAGCGGGGCACAAAGTCTCCTGGAACTTGTCGGGTCACAGGCATGTCACACCGGCACCCCCTCCCATTTTCCCTGGGATCTTTGCCAAGCTCTAAGCCAAGAAACCTTGTTATATTAATTATGAAGAAAAAGCATGTTTTATTTAAAATGCCGGCTGCCGAATATTCTGCCATGCTGTTTCTCTGTGACAGCAGAATTGCTTTTGCATTTAGGAAACCCTAATGAATTTAGAATATAAATATATCTGTGCCTATGTACACAGGCCGTTTCCTGCGACCCGATTTCCCTAAATACCAGTGTACACTGCCAAAGCTAATGAGTTGGACTCGTGCTTAGGATCAGTTTTTTTTTTTTTTTAATTTATGAGAAGTCCCAGTTAAATCTGATCCCTCCCTTTTGCAGGAGACTCTGTAGATTGGAGCAAGAGGGAGAGAAACACCTCTCTTGCCTCTCCTCAGCCTGAAAGAGACTGACACTGTGGTCTGGAAGCCTTGTGGTGGCTGGCTCAAATCTTCCCATCAAAGGCCTAAATGGGTCCTGGGGCCCATGTAGATTTTGGTGCTTGAATGAGTGAGAGGCTGAGAGGTCACTTGCCCATCCCGAACTGACTCTGATACTTCCATAGAAACAGCGCTTCTGAGAAACAGCGGACAGGTGCGCTGTGTCTCTCTGTGTCTCTGTGTGTCTCCCTGCTTGGCAGAACCAGAGAGCCAATGCACGGCAGTACAGTGGGAAGGGCGCAAAGCATGATGGGACCACAGGATCTGAGAGACTCAAACTTCTTCTGATAACAGAGCTCTGGCTCCTCGCCTCAGAGTACTGTGCAAGATTATGGGAGCCCAGTGTGACCAGAACGTCTGATTTTTTTTAAAAAAATTAAAAACACTTGGAGATCTGTATCTTTGAGTGTAATGTTCTGATTTCCAAATGCTGCCTGGCAACTAAAAGAAAGCTAAAGCACTCTGCAGGCTGACCCACCTGCCAAAGAGAGCCCAGGCTGTGCGCAGAGTGTACTCAGTGCTTGCAGCCTCTGGTCTCTACACTGTTTTTGCAGCTTTATACCTGGGAAGATTATAGGGTTCCTAGGGCCTAGAGATTAAGCATACAAGCATTTTAATTGTGAGAAGTCTTTGGGGAAGCCAGTCTCCGCTCCTCTCTGGGGATGGGCCAAGATAAGCAGGACAGGCCTAACGAGCATTGCCTTTTGGCTTCTAACCCTAGGAGAGGTCAAATTCCACTGCAGCTACCCAGCATGCCTCAGTCACCCTAAGAACCACTATAGTAGCCTCCTATGACAGACAAGGAGTTGAACAGATCGGTGCTCCAGTCCTGGCCAGAAAGTTAATTTAGCATCTCTGGGCTGGTTTCTAATTCGGAGAGTAGGGCTAACAACACACAGCTGTGCTGGAGATGGGTGTCGAGACCGATCAATGTGGGAAAACCTCTGGAGACCAGAAGAGAAACATGTCTGAAGGAAGCCCTGGTGTTCACAGCAATGATATTAGACCCATCTCTCTTTGATCAGTGGAGTGGAGGCTAGATAAAAATCTAAGTTAAAGAACGATCCCAGAAAGGAGTCAGTTAATATTTGCTGCGTGATCTGAATTTATGGGATACCACCTGGTGTCTTGCCAATGGATAGCCATCACAGGTCCTGCAACTGCCTGTCTTCAAGTTTCAGAGACGTGTGGAGCTAGCAACGTTCCATCCAGAAAATGGGGCCCTGGCCTGAGCCTCCTGTGTCAACCAGAACACCATACCCTTGATGGGATAAACACCAGTGAGACCTCATGCTCAGCCGGGGCACCAGGCCTATTGTTTAAAGCTCAGCTTTACTTCTTCCAAGCTACATGACTTGGGGCCAAGTTATCCGGCTCCACCTCTATCACATGGGAATAGGAATAGTACGTACCGCTTAGGTTCCTGCTGGAGATGAACCGATCTACAGAAAGCTCCCGGCCTAGCACTCAGGACTCCTCATTATGTGATAGCAGTTGGTTATTGCGCTTAACTGCATCTGGCTATGTGGCTTCTGTCTCCTGATGGTGTCCCAAACTCTCCAAAGCATCTGAGCGACTTGGCCACTTTCCCCTGGATGCCTGTGTGCAGGCCTGTGGAATGCGAGCTGCCTTCCCGACCACCTGTCTGGCACACATCTGGGTAAGAAAACATTCCAAAGCCCCGAATCCTCTCTTCGGAATTGACTAAGCTCATTGCCCGAAGGCTATCGCTCATATTTTCTCTTTTATCCATTATTGACTTATAATTTCATCGCTAACCCTAAAAATTCACTGGGGCCTGCAAAAAAGGGATTTTGTGGGACCATTATCCTTTTGTGAACTTCAAACGGACTGCATCAACCCTTCTCCTTGCCTGCAAACTTTAGGCTTAATTCCTTCTGACTGGTATTTTCTCTGGACCTCTCACGGGCCTCCCATAATTTTCACAGTCTTTCTCTAGACCTGTGGGATTTCTGCTACATCTCAGCCCCAGACCGCCAACATGCCATCAGGTGACGCAGGGGGCCTGATAACAATCTGTAGCCGAAACCACCACACATACACAAGTCACGATTTGAGAAGAAAACCCTTCCCAAAGTGAATCATTTGATAGCTTACTACGTGGCTAAGAGAGGTGTCTCAGAAGTTTACTGAAAGAGGAGGAGGAGCTGTTGTCTTAAAAACATGTTAATGATTCCTTCTGAGTAATTTCTTCCCCTTTCACAACATCTATTGTACCTTTCAGATTCTATTTACTCTTTCAGGTTCTTACACTAGGAAGACAATACGATGTTTGCACATGTGAGTCTGATTTATTTCACTTATGAGTATGGTCTTTAGTTGTATCCATTTACCTATAAAAGCCTCATGTTTATCTTTCTTTATAGCTGAGTAATATTCCGCAACTGAGATGAGGGAAAAAGTAAAAGAAATAAAGAAGGGAAAAAGTATGTGTATAAATGTACACAAGATAGCTAAGATAATTGTACTACTAATTTCTATTGGTTTATTGAAAGGAACAGTTAATGTTTAATGTTTAATCAATCTTACATGCCTATATCTGATTATCTGAGTAGCCAATTTAAAGATAACAATATGTAATACAACAACCATCGTTGATTTCCTACCACCTTGCTTGAAATTCTGTATCATTTTTATTGTTTGGGGGCTGTTTTGTTTATGTCTTTGTATTTGTAAATTTGTAAAATTGTTCCTTTCCCTTTAAAATTAAAAAAAAATGTTAAAAACATGCTAATGAGAAAGCCTGTAATTCAATCTGCTTCCTTCAGGAAATGCTCTATGGGACGAAATGGGAAACAAAACACACAGGCACTTCGCGAGACACAGAGGTTATGACTGCTGCGTCAGTTCTCACCCCGCTTTCTTCCTCCATCCCCTCAGCAAAGGGGAGCAGTCTCTGATTTTTTTTTTTTGTAGAGAAGTCGTATTCATTCTGGAAATTTTAAGGGACAGAGCTAACATTTATTGAAAGCCGCATGTGTGACCTCATCTAATCGTGACCTTCCCAAATCTGTGAGAGATTAGCACTTGGTTTGCAGGCGAGGACACTGAGGCTCAGAGAGATCATGTTACTGGCCCGACATTCCGCAGCTGCAGTGTGGCAAAGCTGAGATTGGGTTCCTGCATCCCAGGCTCCCACTCAGGCCTCCGCCACAGCCGGTACGGGGCTGCCAGGAGGGGTGGTTTTTACTGAAGACCTTCTTTTCCCTGTCCCCACAGATCCAGCTGACACTTGGGCCTCAAGGGCACACAGAAGGAACCCACTCTACTCATCTCAAAGATCTTCAGTCTCCCACTCAAGACCCCACAACCCGCTTTGGGCTCCTGCCCACCCCCTCTCCTGCACCCAGTCTACTGTGGCCGTGAAAAAATGAGAAAAAGGTTTTCCCTAAATATAATCCAGGTAAGCAAATCCTTTGTCAGGTCATTTACAGCCAGCAGGATTCCCCAGGAAGGCCAAGCATGAGAGAGCTGATCTTTGGGTGGGCCCAACATGGCTAGAAAACTGGTTGTGTCTATGTCAGCGCCAGCACGTAGATCTATTTTTCTGGGGAGAGGGTTTGTGGCTTTCAAAGTCTTCTCAGAGCGGTCTCTGAGATCTACGCCAGGTCACAACCGATAGATTAGGGGATTTTCTTGACCCAGTGTTTTTTATTGGGAAGTGCGCTCCCTGAGGGCTCAAGTCTGATTTGCATCACCATGGAACTGGCTGCGCAACAGCAGCCCAAAACCTAGGCCCATGTGTGGCTTGTACGCTGGAAGTTTCAGCATGGCAACTTGTCTTTCATAACTCAAGTGTCTCCTGCTCCCAGCCCAGCCCAGTGATCTCCCTAATAACCTCTGGGTCTCCACGCGTAGGTATTTGAAAAGAACACTTACCCCGGCTACAGACTTTCCCATCAGAACAATTAACAGCAGAACCCGGAGCTCAGACATCCTGGCAAACATCAAGGCCTCCTGGTTTGCTTTCAATGGTAATTTTTTGTTGTTGCTATCTCTGCCTTTGAGGGGTGGGTGTCAGTCTCTAAGGAGTCAGAACCAAATGAAGAGGATGCAAATTATTAACTAGGCATCAAATACTGTTTAATGTTTAATGCTTTGCAAAGCAACTATCTTGATTAAACAAATGGTAACTTTGGGGCCGGGTGAGTCATAGGGTAGTTTTCTCCTCTGAGAAGAAAGTCGCCAAAGAGTGTGGCCAAGTAAAGGTGCGGAGGAGCTGATGCTGCACGTCGGCCGCAGGGTGGAAGGAGAGGCACCTGCCATAGGCTTCTGCCATTGCTCACGTGGAGAGAATGTCGATAGATTTCGGATTCATCAAATCTCAAACAGAATTACAGTATGGATGGGCTCCTAATAACATCACACTTTATATTCACGAAAGATAAATTAAAGGATGCAAAACTGCTATTGACAAACATTGATTCTAGGCCCTTTGAAGTGTTGCCTACAGTTCCTTGTTGGCTTCAAAAGTTTTCTTTTAAATCTCATTACGTAAGGTTTTTATTTTCTAATTATTTTCCTCCTTTCGCTGGAGTCCTTCTTTGATCAATGGGAGGGAAAAAACATGATGCTTAAATTTCAGGACAATTGCTCTTCATTTAGTTACACTGGTCACAGGTAGGGCTATAGAAGCAACAATTACCTGCTAAGCACGGGTTCCTGTGGACACAGCTGATCTCTTTAATAACATGGTCTTGAGCTCCTGTAAACCCCCGGACCCCACAGGACCGCGGGTGCCTGGAATTCTCCGGACTTGAGTCCTAGACACAGGTCCTGAACGGCGGCCACCATCTGAGTGATGTGTTTACCTGTGCCTCGGCCCATGTCTCCCCTCCTCTGCCATCCTCATCTGGCACTGGACAGGGGGTCCTAGAAGATTCCCCAAGGTGGAGACAAGGAGCAGTGACTCACCCCACCCATAAGACAGGTTGCAGGTTCACTGATTTCCTTCACAGATAAAGAACTTTCAGGACATGTCACTAAGAGCATAAAGAGATTTATTGGGCAGAAGTTTAAGCACACACACTCAGAGAAACAGAATGTGGGCCCTCAAGAGGGAGAAGAGAGGCCCTTGTGGCTTGGAGCTGGGTATATTTCTGGGAACTTGGGGGTATCCCCCGGATGGGCTATCTGAGGGTCCAGTTTTGCTTATTTGGTTCAGCTATTTTAAAATGCAAACCATTTATATGTGTCGGAAGCTGAGAATTGCTGTCCTCTTAATAGCGTACTTTCTGAGGACAGTTGTTGGTAGAAGGGAGCCCAATTTACAGGTGAAAGGCATATATCCCCAGAGTCTAGTTTAGGGGTCTTCCCACAAGGGACAAAAGCCATGAAAAATTTTTGTGACTTGCAGCTGCAGGGTTTTTTTTAAAGTGCATTTTTGGTATTATAATTGTCCTTGTCTCTTTTCTAGCTATATTTATTTCTACCTCAAGACTGCTCAGTGGCTGCTTCCAGCTCTGGAAGCCACGTTGCTATGTGGTGGACCCCACTGAGAGTCCCATAGAAGGCCACTGTCAGTGCTTCAGCTACCAGCTGGGCCTGGGTGGACCAGCCACATCCTACCACTTTACTGCCTGGGTAACTTTCAGTCTGCTTTCCTTACTCCACTTGGTTTGTCTCCACTGTACAGATCTGTCACCACCAGCCTCGTCGTGGTCCAGAGGAGTCCACATTTGTCATCCCAGGGAAAAGTTATTGGAATTCCAATAAATAATTCCAGTCTACCACTTCCAGTGCAACCCATGGAGAGAATAAAGACAAACACATATCTACAATGGTGGGGAGCTAAAGGGGTCCTAAGTCCAATCAGAACAAAGACTAACTGGAACAAAGGCCTTGACCCAGGGCTGAACCTGGGTTTTATTAATTCATGAAGAGGATAGAGGTCGGGGGTGAGCGACTGTGAGCATGGCGGGAAATACGGGAGTGCTGTGAGCTGGGCTAGGGAAGATGCATGATAGCACCTCTGCAACATGCAGAGAGGTATGCAGAAAGTAATCTGCATAACACAATTTGAGGAAGTATCTTGTGTTCTGGGGCCAGTCCTTCAGCTCTGAGGTCTAGTCTTCATGCCCTGAGACATCATCGATTCTTTCTCGAACCTCAGTCTCAGACAGTGCAGAATCACTAGGCCTAGCTCGTGCTTACTAGTTGGAAACTCTAGGCAGGCATAGCACTTAACACATCACTACACATCAGCACCTCGGCTAGACCCATTTGCATTGCTTAAAGCCAGTTGAGGGGATAAAGAAATATCCTAGCCAGCTCTGTACATATCAGTACACGGAATCAGGACCAGGTTTAGCCAAAATGGAGACAGATGCTCTTCTTTCAAGGAGATCTGCCCTGGTGGTCCTAGGCGGCAAGAACTCCCTTCTAGTCTAAATGCAACTGACTTCTGTAATGCATACATATGGGATCCCTTTTTCCCAGACATTCCTCTCTAACCTTATGCATCCTCCCAATCCTTACTCCAACCTTGACTATGTTCTTCGCACTAACCCTAACCACCGCTGGGAAAGTCAATTCAGTTACTGCACCTACTTTATGCATCTTTTAGGTCTCAGCTTAAACATTTCTTCTTCAAAAGCCATATATGTATTTATCCTTCACAGCATTTTTCAGGGTCATAATGATGTTACCGTATTGCTATTCCATTCATATTTGTTCTGCTGCTGCTCCCTGTTAGACTGGAGACTCCTGAAGATAGGCTTCTGTTTCCATCCCCATAGAATTTCTGGCATTGACCTCTGACACTTGACAGGAGCTCAATAAACTTATGTTGAATGAAATGAACAAAGGAGCATCATTTTATGAAAGTGATAGTTGGTCATTGTATAATCAGGATACTTTTGATGGTGCAGCCAACTCAATGTGAAAAGAAACATGATGTTAAAAAAAGCATCTGAAACACTTGTGGCTATTTCTAATTATTCGTGCATACAACATTAATATTCTTCAAGTATTCCCTGGAGGGTTACCATGCACTGGACATTTGTGACACAGGGATGAAGGATGCAGATCTGAACTTCACACCTACAGAACACATATTTTGGTTGAGGATGAGAGTAAACTGTTAATTTTACTTAATGATTAGTATGAAAAAGAAAGAAGGAAGGTGATAGGACCGAAATCCTCAGGGGTGAGGAGTTTCCACAGACTTGGTGGTGACAACAGTAGCTCAGAATGTGAGTGGTATAGACTGGGGATTCTGCGGGTAGTTACCGGATCAGGGAGCCAGGTCAAAGGATCAGCACACGGGAGCCATTTGCTGTTTTCCAGATTCAAAGCTGCAGTCTCCCTAGCATCTGCACGACAATAAAAAGCAAAAATGGGAATGTTCAGGCAAGCCAAATCACTAAATCACTCCTGTGACAGAGGCATCTCTTTTTTCCTCCACTGGCCTATGTACTAATGACCTTCAGACTTGAAGAGATTCCCAGAAAACAAGCCAGAAGCTTTTCTTCCTGTGTCAACAGGAAGTGACCCAGGAAAGTTTGCTGTTCACCTTTGTCATCTGGATTAACTCCCCTGACATGTAATCTTCCCTTTATTTCAAGTAAAAAGGAAGCAATTTTGCTCTTTCTGTTCATAACTATAGGCCTCCCACATATTGTCTTTTATTTCCCTGAAGTTTTGTTAGCATGACAGTGTGAAATTCAGTGCATTTCTATACTTAGTCCTAAAGGACGGCAATCTCTAAAAGACACTTAATCCTTTTAATTCAGGAGGACAATGGGGCTAGTTTATCATGTTGTATGTTTTTATTCTGGGAGTTGGAACAAATCTACCTAGGATGTCTAGTTTATAAATCCAAATACAGAGCCTTCTGTGCTCATCCTGGTGCAGTGTCAGATGGGTCAGGTCACTCTATTCTCTGGGTGCTTTGGGTGACAGTTTTTCATGTGTTGGGTTACACACCATGAGCAGAACAACTGTCCCACACAGCTGGCCTTGGAATCTGGTTTTTTAATGAGAAGATTCCGCCACACTTAGGAAATGCATCCTCCCAGTGCCCTGGACAGGCCTACCTTTGTTGTACCAGCTTAGGGACACTTTCTAACAGACTGTTAGGCCTGAATGTAGGTGTTTTATGTTTGTTTTCCTGCAGCCACGGTCTTCTCCCTGCTCACCTTGGTCATAGGAGCCCACAGAGAGGCATGTCAAGCACAGCAGTCTGTCTCAACACAGACGAGGGGCTCTGCCACTTCCCTCTTGACATGGATTCTTTGGACCAGTCATTGACCCTCTCTGGGCCTCTATTTCCTCATCTGTAAAATAGGGATAGGCATTATGGAGAGGTGTAGTGCTCAGTGCAGTGGTGGGTGTAGAGCAGAGCCTTGCAAAGCACACTGGCTTTGATATCAGTCAGACTGTCTCGGGATGATACTGCGCTTGCAGAGGCTCCTCAGAGATGAAGGGGCACTCTGTGAGTCGGTCTTCTACCCACAGAAGGAATGACCACCTTCTTGGGAAAGGCCTTACCTTATTTGCCTTTTGAGGATCAAGCTCAACAACATTTTCTGAAAGTTCCAGAGAGGAAGTATTTCAGGTTTGTTCTGGCCATTCAGTGTCAGCTGCAACCTCTCAATTCCACTTTGGTATCACAAAAGCAACCACGGGCAATCCTTATGCAAAGGAGCACAGTTAGGTTCCCTGGAAGCTGTGTTTACAAAAAGGGGGCTGTAGCTTTCACACCTCTGCAGCCAGCGAGGTGGAAACAGCCAGAGCTGTGCACAACGTGGTGGGGGTGGTGCTGGAAAAGAGGGTAGGGGTCCCTGGGCTGTCACACTGCCATCCTCAGAACCTACCCCAAAGCACGCTCACCCTTCCCTCTGGAAATCAGCAGACATCTTTGGTGACGGTGGTAGAAGGAGGGCGATGAGCATATTCAGACCATTCAGTCATCTGTTCCACACTGTTGACTTAGCACCTCCTGGGAGGAGAACTGTGCTCCAGGGAGTGAAGAAGGCTGAGCTCCAGGCTTGTGGAGCGGCCTTCTTCCGGGAGCCTGCTCTC